CCCCCACTCCGTGTGCGATGATCATGTGATGTAGAGCCCAAAGGAGTTACCGTGGCCATCATCAAGCCAGATGCCGTCGCTCAGGGCAAGACGGATGAGATCATCAAAGAGGTTGGCTGTTGTTTTTTTGTTATGTTGTTGCTGTTGTTGTTGTTCTTGTTCTTGTTCTTGTTGTTATCAATCCAGGAACAGCTGGGCTCTCGCCCTTCTACTGCCCAAGCCATGTAGTGATAAGTGCAGGTTTGCTGCAGTTGCTGTAAAGTTCCTTAGAGCATGTTGTCAATGTTAGGTCTCGTAGGGAGAAGGGTAGCTCTGATGTCATTTAGGGCTGTACTGTGGAACAGGTGGTAATCCACAGTCTCATATGTATAGTCACATAAAGGACACATTGGGGGAAGTTCTGATTTTATTCTGTTCAAGTGAGCTGTATATGTTCTGTTCGTTGGCGTTATTTCTGTATGTAAAAAATAAGAGGTTTCAGTCCCATGAGATCTATGTATATGTACTGTGTTTTAATTTGCCTCCAGTGTCTGAGATGTGAAGCCTACAAAGTCTCAAAAAGAACTTACTTACTTTATTTTCTCCGTCCTCTTGTACCTCTAGGGCGTGGAGGGGAGAAAGAGCTTCCTGCCTCTAGCAGGCGGGACGGCCTGGCTGGTGGGATGTTGTGTGTTTTCAGGGTATTCTTCACACAATCAATCCAGGTCTTTCTGGGTCTTCCTCTTGCCTTGTACCCTAAAAAGTAAAGTCACTAATACTGTGTTGATTGTCAGCTTACTTAAGACCTTCAAATTATTATATTCTGACACGAGACAAACCCATACCTTACAGGAATTTTGATGAGTTCCTCCAAATTGAATACTTGTTATAATTCTATTCGAGTCCCTTCTTCCCGCCACCTTTTAAAAAAAAAAAATTGTAACCCCTGGGGGGGTGCCACTGACTGAAGTGTCTTTAGGCCATTCCCAAAGGGGGGATATTAACATGTTCTCTTACACGGTCGAATTGTAAATGGGCTGATTTATCGATGTCATGCTCATACTGTGCCGGAACAACATAGGGGGAACTGCTACATTTTCTTTCCTCATCCTTACTATCGTCATTTTTGCCTCTACTTCTTTTGTATGTTTGTCACTCTCTAGTGACCCGCAGTTGTGAACGCCGTTAGACTTTACTAGTGGGTGATTGACGGGTGCCCTGGTGTGGTTTGCTCCTTTTTTCCAATCAGACATCTATCATCCTGATCTCTCCTCTTTCTTTTTGTGTTTGTTACTCTCTTGTAACACCTCTAATCTTCAGCACTTATATGACCTTTTAGTGTTGCAAGTGCCGTAAAACTCTCTCTCAAACTAACACCTTACTAAAGCAAAAACAAAAGTTAAACGTTTTCTTCCCTCCTCCGCAGCTCCAAGACAACGGCATTGAGATTGTGGCCCAGGAGGAGAGAGAGCTCACGGATGAGGAGGCGCGAGAGTTGTACTCGGAGTTGTCCGATGAGGTCAGACATGATGAATGGGGTTTTTTTCTTCTGTCTATCTTTGTGTTTTCTCCTGGGTTTTTTTGTTGTATTTTTTTTAATAGTTATGGGTGGTTGGTGTGTGCTCTGGTGTGGTATACCTCTTCTTTACTATCAAACATCTATCATCCTAATCTCTCCTCCTTCTTTTTTATGTTTGTAGCTCTCTTGTAACACCTCTAATCTTTGGCACTTCTATGACCTTATTGTATTGCAAGTGCTTTAAAACTCTTACTAAAACTATATCTTTTTTGTAGCCTCCTTTTTGTTTGTTTTATATTTTGAGGTTTTCATTCATTTTTTTTTTTACTTTGAAATTTAATGTTGGCTTTTTTCTAATGTTGTATAGGTAGTACCAAATGAATGTCCAATTTAATATCTATTTCAACTGAACAACAATGAGAATGCACTCAGTACATTTTCTTCTCTTTTTCTGAAAACTGCGAGAAATAACCCACTTTTGCTGACCTGGCAGTTGCTTGTTTTTGTCCTTGTTTTGGTTTTTTTTGGTCCAGTGTCCTGATTTTGGTGCCCATGTTTGTGGGTTACGTAAAAATATATTGACATGGTGCAAATTCTTATGTTTTCTAGGAAAACGAAACAAGAAAAAGGGGAATTGTTTTGTCGGTGGTGATGGTGATGATGATGATGATAGTGATGATGATGGTAACAGTGATGGTAATGGTGATGATGATAATGGTGATGATTATTTTAGGTGACGATGATGATGCTCTGATTTTGGAAAAAATGTGCATATTAGTATTAAGTTATTTTTACTGTCCTGGCAGTTCAGAAGTTTGCTGTACATCAGATTTTTTTAACACATTTTTTTTTTCGCGCTTTTCCTATTTCGATTTTTGCGAATCTTTTGAATTCGCAATTTGAATTGCAGAGTATCACGTTTGTATTTGGGTTCAATACAACAGCAGCCATTTTAACATTTCATTCGCAGAGGCCCTGAATTAATAGATTTCCGTAAAAATTGTGAAAATTGTGAATTCAGGCACCACGCAACAAGCGGGCTGACCCAGATTTCGGGGGTTTCCAGAAATCTTGAACTACATCAAAAGTGGGCATTACCCTACCTATAGGAGAAGTTTGGTTTCATTGGTGTGTATATTTGTTTGGTTTTAGACAAAACTCTCCTTGTCTCTTAAAGAAACTGAACAAGGGTCAAAAACTTTACCTTCGATTTTCTCAAATCAGCATTTTTCGGGATATCCCCCTTGTCCTTTAAAGCGACCAATTGAAAAGAGATGAGTGTTTCTAATGCACATGTGTGTGCTCACCCACAGGATTACTTCGAGGAGCTGATCAAGTTCATCACCAGCGGCCCGTCACACGTGCTTGTGTTGACGAAGGGAGAGACAGGGGAGGCCATCGTGAAGGACTGGAGGGACATGTTGGGGCCTACCAATGTAGAACAGGCCAAGGAAGAGGCTCCGGACAGGTGAGGGAGGGGGAGAGGGGGGATAGGTGAGGGAGAGGGAGGGGGGAGGATAGGTGAGGGAG